ATCATCTAATATCACATAAACTAAGGTTATAATTGCAGTGAGACTAAATAACATTATTTGTTAAAAAAAAAATATTAATATGCTCATTTTTAATTACATCTTAGCCCATATTTGACAACCATTTATTTTATTTTTTTTGTGAAAAAATTGAGTTTTGGAATAGTGATTTTTTGGAAATTGCGTGATTACATAGTAAGAAAAAGTTTTCATTTTATTGTTTATAAGTAAAATATTTTATTGCAAAAATGTTTGATTGAAAATGAATTTGAGAAGAAAAACTCATTTTAAAATAATCTCTCAATAAATTCTCTTCGCAACTTTTTAAAATAAAGAGTACATTTGACTACTCAAAAATGTATTGGTAATTTATAAAGATTGCATTTATCAAGCCATACATTACAATATTATTTTCAAAAAATTATTCAAATCACATTTGTCATTGTTGGGATTGATTATTAGTAACTTTTTAGGAACTTTGTAGGAAGAATGGTCGCATGATCATAATCGTGTGAAAAGTAATTAGTATTTTTGAATGTGAAGTTAAAATTAAATTATAGAATAACTTTTAAGCTGCGAATAATATGAGACGGACACAAATTTGAATTTATTGAACATTGAAATATAAAAAAAAAAATGTTCAATAAAATATAAAGAGAAAACAGTAAATATTTCATGAAAAAAGCAAAATAAATAGTCAAAAGAGTATTATACCATACTACATAGCCCACTGGTCTTAGAACACCAGTTTATTTGGCCATACATTTTATTTTTATTTTATTGTGTAACGATTTAGCATTTGGGCACTGTTATTCTTTTTTGAGAGAACATTTGTCCTTTCACTCCTCATGACTTTCTGTCATGTCTATCAGAATTCAAATCCAATACTTTAATGTTTCGAGAGATTTAAGCTGAATTCTGGAAGATATTCTAACAAATGAAAAATCATAGACAGTTTTTGTAAGAAGCAAATTACTAGCTAGTTAGTTTGGCTAAATGCCTACTTTAATCATGTTATTTTAACAGTGGAATTGAATAATTGAATTGATAATCCAACTCAGAATGGATGGATGGCTTGCACATTATTGCTATTTGTTGACTTAGTGATCATCAACCATAAATGGTTCAATACAGAGTTCATATGGTAGTTTAGTACTTTAGTTGCACATCAGCACATGCATAAATATTGCATCATTGTTTACTTAGTATTTTCCTCCTTGTTTTCACCATATTTTTGACATTCTCTTGAACGAAATTTTTCTTTCCATCCACACGTTCTTCATTTGAACTTTAAAAAGTTTGAACGTATTCCATAATGAAAAGTTGATGACTTTTTCTTTTCGGGGAATTGGCACAAATGGCCCCTAACCTATGGGGACTTGCAAAATTTCCCTAACCTTCAGTCTTGACGTAAATAAATCATTTTGGATGGTTTTCCATTCAATTGACGGTTAAAAAGGTCAAATGTTTGGTAAAAAGACTAAAATATCCTTGCTTTAGTTAAAATAAATAAAATAAGGCGAAATTTTTTTTTTAAAATACGAAATAAGAAAAGAAAATACAACTCACCGTTCTCATAAGAGCATGTCTGATGCAACCGAATTGCTTTAAAAATTGTGTCATATAAGCAAAATTGAAGTTATTTAAATTTTTTATCTTAATGCAAATTGATAAAGACTCCGACAAAAAGGAAAACATGCAAAATCAAAATTGGTTTCCAAAGCCATCTATGTATTGCTATTTAGGAGTATTTTATTTTTATTAAAATAATAATAGAATCAAATTTAAATCTATATACGAAACATAATTTTTTTCTGAGGGTTTAAAGAAATTTATAAATTTAGACAGAGCTCTAGAAAAATCTTTTTTTTTTCGCAACATCATTTTAAATAAGTCCTTGTCAACTTGCATTGGAGATAAATTTTTCTAAACACATTTTATTTTGCTAATATGATACTATATTTTTAAGTGATATTGAGGATTTGTCGGTAGGATGAGTTTAATTTTCTTTTCGCCTTTATATTTGTTAATTTTTTTCTGACCTATTTTTTATTTATTTATATAACTAAAGTAAGGGTATTCTAGTCTTTATATAAAAAGTTTGGCCTTTTTAGGGATCATTTACGCAGCAACACCAATGGTGAGGGACCATTTACACTACGGCACCTTTTGATAGGTATGGAATTCCAAGAAAAATGGAATTGAAATTCCATCTTTCCAAATTTTTTTGTTTTTATGTTTCAGTAGCAAAATTTAGAATGGAATTGATTTTCAACTTGGCTTGCCACATCGTGGAATTTCAATTCCCACCAAATATGGAATTCCAAGAAAAATGGAATTGAAATTTCATCTTTCCAATTTTATTTTATTATTATTTTATTTTTTTTAGCAAAATTTAGAATTGAATTGATTTTCCATCTTGGCTTGCCACATCGTGGAATTGAAATTCCCACCATTTTGGTGGGAATTTCAATTCCACCTTTTTATTTATTTTTATTTTGCAATTTAAAAAAGATTTAAGAATTATTGTAATAAATTCTATTCCATTAAGTAACAATTCTCATGTAAAATAAAGTCAAACGGAAACGAAAATATAGATGAATTTTGTTTTTCTTGGCTTTTTTATTTTATTCTTATTTTTTTATTTTTGGTAATGGAAACAAATTCTATTCCCAATACTAGTAAATTTTATCCATTTAATTGATAATTTTCATGTAAAATAAAGCCAAACGAATACAAAAAATACTTTTATTTAACATTTTTCGCGTGGAAAATTATATCAGTCAAACCCAATAAATTGACGATTCCCAGGAAAACAATTTCCAGACAATTCAATTCCCTGAAATTCGTTTTATTTTTACTCAAATTTCATCTTTGCAATCAAACATGATCTTGTTCCTTCAGGAATGCAAAAGGGATAACGCACATTAACTATTTAAACCGAATAAAGACACTTTTCTTGGTATTTTTTCCGTAATTACTAGCTGTTCATTATGGTCAGCATATATCAATCGAGTAAAATCAGTTTGCATTCTTGAACAATATTTACTTTGAGTAGTTCATGCCAATATGAACAATATTTAGCGTAAAAGCTTTGTACCTCACTAATTGTATAAATATGTAGAAGAAACATAACTATCCTGATATTTTTTGTATCTTTCATTCCACACCAGACTTTGTATAAATTTGTGAATGTCTTTACATCAAATAAAGTATCAAATAGTTCTATTAGTTCAATTCTCACAAAGTTTAATTCTCCTTTCTTTACCCCAATAGCTATTTTTACCGGTTAATATAAAAGTTATATATTTGTAATTTTCTTGTAAAATAGTAATTTAATGAATTTTGAATAGATTGATATGGCTCGATATTGTCATGGTCAAGGCGTCGATTGTTGTTCAAACTCCCGAAGATTTTACATTTCATATTTGTGATAAAATCTAAATAAAAGGAAACAAAAGATATAAACCAAAAGTAGGACGTGAGTACAAGAAGTTAGAACATTCACTCCAATAAATACAAAAAGATATGAAATCATGCCGCTTCAACTTCATGGGTCGAGATGAGCAAAAATTTGATGTGCTAATTTGGAAGTGATTAAATTATAATTTAAATTGATCAAACATACTTTTTTATTGACATATTTTGTAAAATTCAGAACTATTAATCTGCACATTCTATAAAATTCACAATTTATTATCACTCAAATTTTATTATTGTACTTTCAAGTGACTTTTTGAGAATCACTTTAACTCATTTTTTATCATATATATTTTTCTAAAAATAATTTTACATTTCCTATAATTTTTATTTTATTTTTACTTTTTAATTTTTCCAAAAAAATATTTTTTTTTTCGAAAGATTACTCCTCAAAAATTTAATCGTACACATCCACTTAGTCAATTTCATGGAGATGATTAAAAGGCATAATAAAAAATATTTTTAAATATTAAAAATATTTTTTTAATATATTTTTTTCGAAAGATTACTCCTCAAAAATTTACTTGTACACAACCACTAGGCCAGTTGGCCCTTGTTTGATGTGGATTAAAATCAAATTTTTAATATATAAATAAAATTAATTATTAACTATAACTTTGTTAAAATTCTAATAATCCCTATCAAACATTAACTTAGTCAATTTGATTTTTGAGCAATGGAGTTATTACAAGGAGGAACTCACAAGTTGTGTCGTTTTCTTACGGTGGGACACAACAAAAACCAGCTATATTAAAAGCGGTGTGAAACGGAAGGGGGGTACCATCTCATTTCAATACATTTTCTCTTCTCCTTCCTGTGCATGTGAATGGGTCTTACCCTTGCTCTGTTCCAATTCTGGTTTTTCTTCCTTTAGAGAACAACTTCATTCAATAAAATCCTCTCTTCATATCAATTTTTAGCTTTTTTAATATTTTAAGTTTGTGGGATTTTTATTGAAGTGTGTTTTAAGAACCCCTTTTTCTTCTAGCTCTGTTAGAGCATCACATCATGGGCAATTGTTTGGGTTCCTCTGCAAGAATTGATGCCACTCACAGCACATCTGGTATTTTCATCTCCGTGGCTCACTAATTTTATTATTTATATATTTGGTTCAGTTTTGAGTTAAAGATTGTGTCTTTAATTCTCTTGATTATAATTGCTAAAAATCTATTTTTGCCTGTAAAGATTAAATCTGATTGGCTTAAATTGATTGAGGGTTTGCACTTTGCCCCCAAAGATAAAATCCTTGCATAGGAAATTTCGGTGGTGCCTGTTTCTTAATTCTTAGCACGATTTTTGGATGTAAAAATTATGAGTTTTTTCTGTATATTTGAAGTAGTTGAAGTTATGCTGGTGTCTATTACTGTTAAAATTATGCTAATTTGTCTGCGCGGTTTGGTCTGCACAAGGAATGGACTAAATTACCTCCAATGATGTTCTTTCTAAGGAGTAAATTTATTTCTATATTATTATCAAGATTCAATCAATTGCTTCAAGTTTTTCAATTTAAGATGGCGATGATGAAATAATGCTGCAACCTCATTATCTCTTCTGTGAGTTTCAGAAGCTTCAAAATTTCCCAGTGGTTCATTAGCTCCGTCCAGCATAAGCGTTCCCTCTCACAGTAGCAAAAGCAGTGTTCACAGCCTCCCTACTCCAAGATCTGAAGCTGAGATTCTCTCATCCCCCAATGTTAAGCCCTTCTCATTTAACGAGTTAAGGAATGCAACCAGAAACTTTCGACCTGATAGTCTTCTTGGGGAAGGAGGATTTGGTTATGTTTTCAAAGGATGGATTGATGAGAACACTCTTGCTGCTGCAAGACCGGGATCTGGACTGGTCATTGCCGTGAAGAAGTTGAAGCCTGAGGGTTTCCAAGGCCACAAGGAGTGGTTGGTATGTATTTTCTCTGTTGTTGTATGGCTTAAATTAATTTATCATAATTTTGTATAGCCTGTTTTGACAACCAGCCAATGATTTGCAGACAGAAGTCAATTATTTGGGGCAACTTCATCATAGTAACCTGGTAAAACTTATCGGTTATTGCTCTGAGGGGGACAACCGGCTTTTGGTTTATGAGTTCATGCCAAAGGGAAGCCTGGAGAATCATCTGTTCAGAAGTATGTATTGCCTTTCCTTTCTATGAAAACCCTTTAATGATTTTCTCGAACACGCTTTATCACTTATTTGATAATCTCTAATCAGCGACATAAAACCTCATCAAATTTATTTACTTCCAGTTATCAGCTAAATTACCGTACCCATTTTTGCTGAGTTTGTAACTTAATTCATTCCTTTTTGTAAAAGCCTCATGTACGCTGTTTAGTAAAGCACTATTAAGAGGGTTTATAAATGCTGCAGCATTTGAAAAGCAAGCATTTTGATGATAATATACAAAAAAATTCATTTGTTGATAGAAAGACTGTGCTACTTGCACATACCCTTTTGCACAGGGCCTGTACAGGTGCACACACATGGAGGTGGACCCTACACATGGATTCCACATGGGAGATCCACCCCCATGTGAGAGCCCCTGTACAGGCCCTGTGCAAAGGGGCCTGTGCAGGGGGCTTTTCCCATCTTGTTCTCTGCTAAAAGATCCACATAAATTGATGTTACACAATTTAGTTCATTCCTCATGTTATTATTAATTCCGTGTTTATCTTGATTTTCCGTGTCTTTCGGTTCAAATTTACCATTTTGTGCATTTATTACCAGTACCGCGTGAACCTGGTCCCACCCTACTTACCTATTCTTTTAGGTGGTTAAATGGTTTCTATCTGCTACATTTTCTTCATCTATAGTCTACGTTGGACATAAGCTATTCAATTTCATGGGATTTTATGTGATTAATAAAATGATCTACAAATTGTTGACAATTTAAAACCCTGTTTAGTCTGTGAATCTAAAAACAAGTTTTGAACTTTGGTATTGCATTTTTCTTTTGCTCAGGAGGTCCTCAACCCCTCACATGGGCTACAAGAATCAAAGTGGCTATAGGTGCTGCTAAAGGCCTTTCTTTTTTGCATGAAGCTAAACATCAAGTAATATATCGAGATTTCAAGGCCTCTAACATTCTTCTGGATGGGGTATGTTCAGAACTTGGATCTTTCGTATGTTAATGGAGTATTAGATAGCAGTAGATAGTACTAAAAAAAGAAAGTTAAAATCATTTCTAACACTGTGCTAAAGATGAACTACATATACGGTTTGCTGAAATTGTTCATTTTCATAGATGAACTGACAGTTGTTCTGCTCTTGATGCAGGAATTTAATGCAAAGTTGTCTGATTTTGGATTGGCTAAAGCCGGGCCAACTGGTGATAAGACTCATGTATCTACTCAAGTTATAGGTACTCAAGGCTATGCTGCTCCAGAATATGTTGCTACAGGTTCATAAATTTGGAATACTACTCTCTTTTCTTTGGGCTAATTAAGGGTAAAAACACAGTCCCTCAACTTATAATGAAGTTTCATGTTAGTCACTGAACTTCATTTGTTTCAAAGTGGTAACTCAAGTTTCTTTTTTTTGTTCTAGTCAAGATAGCTAGCATGCGCTAGTTTTTCAAACGGAATGGATGATGTTGAAGACCTCCATTTTCCATTTGGAAAACTAAGAAATTTTAGTTGAATGACCAAATTCAAATAATAAGCAATCTTCAGCGACTACTTTGAAACAAAATAAAGTTATGTGACTACCATGAACCTTCACTATAAGTTGAGTGACTGACTCTCTTTGACCCATTAAGAAACATTTAATAGTTACTATTGTATGATATACTAAAGTCCTCATTACAATGAACAGGCCGATTGACGACAAAAAGTGATGTATACAGTTTTGGGGTGGTTTTATTGGAACTATTGTCTGGACGTCGTGCTGTTGAAGAAGAAAAGGTTGGTGTGGAACAAAATCTTGTTGATTGGGCAAAACCATATTTGGGCGATAAGAGAAGGTTGTTCCGAATAATGGATACAAAACTCGAGGGTCAATACCCTAAGAAAGCAGCATACACTGCAGCTACCATTGCATTGCAGTGCCTTAGTCGAGAACCAAAACTGAGGCCAAACATGACTACTGTTTTATCCCAACTTGAAGAGCTTCAATCTCCGAAAACTGCATCAAGAGGCGAGAATCGAACTTCTTTTGATCCTGTATATATGTCGCCATTGAAACATCGAAATACAGCTCGTAATGTGACACCTTCGGCGTCTCCATTACCATCATACTTGAGATCTCGGGTTAAATGAGGCAGAATAATGTATTTTCAACTTAGTTCTATCCTTTTTGTAATATAAATATGTTTTAGTTCAAGCTTCCTGCTTTTGTTATTGCTGGATTATGTGTTTTAACACCATGAAGCTTATTAATGAAAGTTAGTTTCGAAAATTTTGCAGCAATGTCATTTTCCAAGTTGTGTTATTGTCTTCTGTTCCCAGTTCAGTCGATCCCTGATGCACGATTGTAGAAATAATAAGATTAATTCTATTAATTAAGACATATATAAATGGACAAAAATCATTTCCATCTATATAATGCGATGAATTCGAGTCAACATAAGTTTATCGATTCTGTCGATATGGAACTCTATGAACTATGGTAATATTTTCACATGATATGTATTTGCTGGCTCTTTTTTGGCGCTGTATCTTATGCTTAGATCATGCTTGGTAAAGGTGATAGTGACATTTTATTTTTATTTTTTACGTCTTACATTTGCTTCTTGAGTTACTTTCTGTTACAGAAAATTTACCAACTTTGTGCATTATGGAACATTGGAAAAACTTAATTGTAAGGATGAAATAGTTGTTTTTGAAAATTAAATTATGTATCAATTATTTAATAATCATGTTCATTTTTTCTAAAAGAAAAGTTTAATCTAGCACTATCCCTTCCTAGGCATATGAACATTAATATAGTATGATTCCAACTCTTGAATGATTAAAATTTAATAGTAAATTGAAATTTTTTCACATCGACTGATATTCAATACCATATATTGTTGAAATTGTCCTCGAAACTCGGCCAGTGAATCGAAGGGTCACCCATGCACTGCAGAAAAATTCTATGCATCTATTTAATATTTGTGCACTTAGTTGAATTTGTGAGCAAAGAAAGATCATATCCTAATACAAGAATTTGTGAGCAAAGAAAGATCATATCCTAGTACAAATGAAATAATATAATTGCAAGTCTTATTATTTCAATATGTGAACAGATTAAAATATATAAGAATTTTAGTAGTATATATTTAATATTTGTGAACTTAGTACAATAATACCTCTAACAAGATTTCAACCTTTCAAAACAATTCAGGAATGACATGCAATGTCGTTTTCCTTTCATTAAGCTAAAAATTTTAGTCCATTATTTGGAAAATATTTTTGGATGATGAGTTGATGACTTCACTAATACTTTATAATCCATCATTTTCAATCAATTGATATTATTTTACATATGATTTAACACTAAAATAATACTGCAAATTCCTTATTATAACTGTCACGTCTTTGAAATCATCATTCTATGGTTACTTCAAACATATGTACCGACTTTTACATTTATAGTAATTTACTGCTATTAATAATATCCTCATATTTTTTTATTAGGGTTTAGAGGTAAATGACAATTACATCCCTACAGCTCTAGAAATAATTACTATTGTATCCTTAATTCTGTCATATAATTATAGGGCTTTGGTTCTTAATAAAATACACACAAATCTATTAACTTTTCTCTATTTTCACTCTTTTCTTCACTTTTATAACACGTTATCAACATGAAAAGCATAATTCTTCAAAATTTTGTGAAGGTAGTAATTTTTCCTTTTTCTATCACATGTATCAAAATTAATTTGGCAACATGTGAATTTTTTATTTTTTTTATACACAGCACGTTAATTTGTGTGTTTAAACTTTCTGTTATAATATATGACGTTAAAAATTATTTTACGAAACTTCGGCCACTTCTTCGTAGTTATATTTCGGCCTATTTCACATTTGCGTGTGCTTCCACAGTGCGGTCATGTGTTATAGTTTACACAGAATTTGCAGTGAATTATTTTATCTATCTCGATTTGCGTGTAAACTATAACACAATTGGTTTAACAATTCACTGCATCCAAAAATTCAAACATATGCAATCATTACATGATTTCTTTAATTCACATCACTTGTAATTCTTTAATTCTATTTGCATGTCCTGCAATTATGTATGCTATATTGCTCATAATCCGCAGTCAATTGTTTTTAATTATATGTTTGGTAAAATTAATTAATCTTTTGTGGTTTATGCATATAATATTTATTGTTTTGTTACTTCTGAAGCAATATAACATTATAATTAATATTCTAGAAGAATATTAATCGAAAATCTATCTATTATAAATAGTTTGTTGATGCTCTGGAAGTAGTACAATATTATATATAATATTCATGGAGAATAATATTTGCTTTTGAAGAACAAAAATTATATTTTTCAATATTTCAGAAGAATATTGACGTATTGATCTTGAAGAAATGGTAATAATAATAAAATACAACGTGTTCCTAAAGTAGCATATGTTTCGAAGAACATATTATTTTCGTATTTATCCCTGAAGGAAAATACGTAATTTATGTTATGTTGATATTGATTACTTGATTAATTATTATATGATGTTTAATCCTATTCTTTGAAACTAATTATATTTTCTTTTACTTTATTGTGTAGTTAATCAAATGGCAAACATCACAAAGTTTGAATTTGCTGCACTTAACATCTATAGCAAAAATTATTTATCATGAGCACTTGATACTGATATCCATCTTGTCTCAAAAGGTTTGGGAAAGACAATAAAAGAAAGAAATAAAGAATCCTTGCAGGATCGTGCAAAAGCACTCATCTTTCTTCGTCATCATCTTCACGATAGAATGAAAATTGAATATCTTACTGAGAAAGATCCACAAGTTTTTTGGAAAAAATTAACTGAAAGATTTGATCATCAGAGGACTATAGTCCTTCCCAAAGCCTGCTATGAGTGGATACACCTTCATTTGCAAGACTTCAAAACTGCTAGTGATTACAATTCTGAATTGTTCAGAATATGTTCAAAATTAACATTGTGTGGAGAAAAAATCACTGATAAAGATATGTTGGAGAAAACTTTTTCCACCTTTCACGTCTCAAATGCACTCTTGTAGTAGCAATATCGCAAGCGTTGTTTCAAGAAGTACTCAGAACTTATATCTTGCCTGCTTTTTGCTGAACAGAATAATGAACTGTTGATGAAAAATCATGAGTTACATCCAATTGGTTCTGTACCATTGCTTGAATCATATGCTATTCAAGACAATGGCGTAGACATGGATGTGGATGTGGATGTGGATGTGGATGTGGACATGAACATGAATTTGAACGTGGACACGGAGTAAACCATGGACGAAATAATTAACAAAATTACAACAAGGCAACAATTTCAAAAGGCACAAATTAAATGAAAGTAGCACACCTAAAAAGGTACATGAAAAAAGTTGTTTTAGATGTGGAATAAAAGGGCACTGGACACGTACCTGTCCTACAGCAAAACACTTTGTGGATCTCCACCAAAAATCAATCAAGGGAAAGAGAAAAGTGGAGACAAATTTGGCTGATTATGATGGTCCAATTGATGTGACTCATTTGGATGTTTACGATTTCTTTGTTGATCAAAATAAAAATATTGACCATTTGATTGTGGGTGGTGTGATGAAAGATAAAAATTAGTTTTTTTTTTTTTTTTGTTTCTAGTATTTCCCTTATTTTAGAAATTTAGTTTGAAATATATTTTTACTTTTCGCAAAAAATTTGAACTTTATTATGCATGGTTAATTTCACAGTATTAATTATGCTTATCATTTTGAATTTAAATTCAACTTTTTAAAAATATATTTATTTTGTTATATTGATATATTCATGATGGATAATTAAGACACTTGCGTGATTGATAGTGCAACTACACGTACTATTCTTCAAGACAAAAAATATTTTTTGGATTTAACATTAAAAGAGAATAATATCAATATAATATCAGGTTCATCGAATATCATTGAAAGCTCCGGAAGAGCTTGTATTATTTTACCAAAAAATACAAAATTATATATTGACGATACACTTTATTCTAGCAAATTCAAAAGAAATTTGTTTAGTTTTAAAGATATCCGTTGTAATAGATATCATTTTGACACGACACAAGAAAACAGCTTTGGAGTGTCGTATCCACAGGGAGATGAAAATTTTCTCAAAAAAATCAAACAAACTAGAGTTTTCGTAATTTTATGTGGGAATGATTTGTCACATGGAATAAAAATTAATTATCAATATGCGACATAAGTGAAGCGTCGGAATTCCCCCAATGGATTGGATCAATCGACATCAATAATTCATGTATTTTTCCTCAATTAGAGATTTTCTTCCCAACTCTCTAATCGGAAGATTTAACAATAAAGTCCAATTTAATTCCAATTATATTGCTAGAATCTAGATTTTCTATAACATATTCGCACATTTTTTTATTGGAACAAGATCAAAGATCGACCATATATATCAAGCATAAGGCAGTAATCAATGCGCCAATAAAGTAATATTAAGATTATAATTCAACAATTATTTCAACAATAAATAATTCAAATTGTAATTCAACAAGTATTTCGAATATCCGATAGAGAAAGCATGATTGAATCTATGGGAATTCTAATAATTGTTAAACTAATGTCAAAAACATATTCAAGATATGGAAATTCGATTCTAAAATTGTTTAATAATGAAAAACTCAATTACATGAATTAAAGATGTCGAAATCACCAAAACCGATTGAGATCATTCGTTGCTTCACTAAGTTCCTTAGTTTTCCATGGAGTTTCTTGAGCACCAAGATGAAAGAAATAGGTTTGGGGGCGTCTACCTTCGTTCTGGGTGGTTTTGGGCATTTATATCCCGTGAAAATTAGGTTACCATAAGAGATTCAATTGTATAAGGAAACTGAGATTCGACAGCCCAAAAAACACTATGCGACCGCATGATTATTGTCATTGCGGTCGCATGGTTATGCACTTTCAGCCTCTTCAATTCTCGGTATAGGTGTGTGCGACCGCATAGAAGAAAGGTATGGGACCGCATGGTTCCGCCCGACAGCTTTCAATGTTTTAATCATAACTTTCTTTCCCGATGTCCAATTGAGGTGATTCAAGTTGCATTGGATAGCTAACTCAAAGGGTCACAATTTTTATTCAGAAGTCATCTACCAATTCGATCATCTTCCATGTCCAAAATGGGTCCCAACATGAGACTAAAAACTGGTGTGTTAGTTTTCGATTGGAAATTGATGTATTGATCAAACTTTGACGTTATTTCATCCCTTTGACTTCTTTCCTCATCCACTTGACCTCTAACACTTTCGAACTTCATCATAATCTTATACACAAGTTTGGATCATTTGCACTTTAGTCCCCGAACTTTCGTTCTCTTCTACTTTGGTCATTTTTCACTTGTTTCTTCCGAATTTCATCTTTTTCACCAAAATGCAACCTAAACCAAAATATAAGAGTAATAGGTGCATTTTGGCATAATATAATCACATGAATGCAATAGTTAAGAGGGGAAAATATGGTATTTTATACTCTTATCACACCCCCCAACTTGCTTATTGCTAGTTCCTAGCAATTTAATGCAAAGTAAAGCAAATGAGTGATTGGTCCATGTTACAAGTGAAATTGTTAAGTTCTAATTCAACAGTAGTTCATTCTCTTTTCAAACTCAACACCACCAGAAATTAACAATGTTATGATCATCAAGATATCAAAAACACTTGCTAAATGTGTAAGTGTGTGTCAAGCCATAGCCATCTTACCGCCAACCCTAACACATGCAACATCGAGTGTATCTCTAGCTAAAGGTCCAGCCCCATAACTCACGGATATTAAAGTGTTTAGTGCGGGATTTCTCTCTATGGAGCTGGGAAAGATGCACACTCAGAACATGGAGGCTTTAATAATTAGCAACAAGCAGACATTGATCACATGATAGGCATACTTTCAAATGAGAATTCATCAACTTCTTACCACAAACCGACTTGAGATCAAAACAGTCAATGCAAAGGGTGTGAAAAGGGTTAAGCTGGGTTATATGAAAAGTAGGGTGAAAAGAATTTAGGGACTTCCAAGTATCTAGTTAGGCATCTCAACAAGTAATTCAACATAGCAATCCTTTACA